GAGTTCTACTTGAACTACAGGTTCTGGAATTATGTTCACGATCTGTTGATTAAAGGAACATGTTTTACCAATTTCTTTAACGGGTTCATTATTCATAGTGTCTTCAATAAATGTCACATCTCTGGCTTTTATTACTTTTCCAGGCTCCGAAGGATCAGCAAGTCTGTATCCTTTGGAATTTTCACAATACCCTACCATTATGTACATTTTAGATTTACTGTCGAGCTTCTTTCGGCGTTCATCAGGTATCAGAGCGTAAGCTTTGCACCCAAATACACGTAGATTACTCACGTCGACCCTTGAATTTGACCAGATTTCTTCAGGTGTTGCTCCTTGAACTGCTACAGTTGGGCTTCGATTCTTGAGGTATATCGCAGTCGTCACCGCCTTTCCCCAATAACATTTTTCCAATCCGGAATCCTGCAGCATAGACCTGGTCTTTTCTATTACGGTCTTGTTCAATCTCTCCGAGACACCGTTTTGCTCAGGCGTGTAAAGTATAGTCATTTCGTGTATAATGCCATTTCCCTTCAAAAAACTTTCAAAGACTTTATTACAGTATTCACGACCATTATCAGTCCTTAACCTTTTTATTTTTAATTCAGTCTAATTTTCTACAAGTTTCTTGAACTCTACGAAGGCACTGAATGTTTCTCCTTTTGACTTGAGTAAATAACCAAAACTTTTTCTTGAGAAATCACATCCGTAAAAGTAAGCAAATACCGCGCTCCACCCCAGGACTTCTCAGACATTGGTCCACATAAGTCAGAATGAATTAATTCTAATTTTTCCTTAGCTCTTTTAGCTTCACCTTTTGGAAAAGAATTTCTTCTTTGTTTGCCCTCGATACATGGAATGCAATGGTTTACCTGTTCATCTTCTTTGAAGCTTATACCGTCAACGAGTCCATTTTGAAGCATAATCATGCTTTTCTGACTTAGATGTCCTAAACGCTTATGCCAGATTTCTCGCGATACTCCGGCTGTCGACAACGCTGCAGATTCCTCACTGGCCTCGGCATTTTTATCCTCCGTTGTTGTCGCAGCAACTTCATGTTGTATCTGAGATGGTGGCTTCGCTGATTGATCTAGTCTGTAGACTCCATCGACGTTCGAGGATGAAACTTTGCAATTACTTTTAACTTTATAATCAGTCTTGTCATAAATATGACACTTATTTTTCTCGAAAACAACTATCAAGTCTTTTTCAGTCATTTTGCTCACGGATAGCAAATTCGCGACAATGTCAGGTACGTATATCACATCTGTAATAGTCTTTTGTGTCTTTTGTAGTCTTAAATGTCATCTTTTAGGTTAACTTTGACTTCACCTACACCATTACCTTTTAGTTTTTGATTATTGGCAACGGTTATTTCTTTTGAATATTTATTAGAATAATTAACGAACCAATCCTTGCGCATGCTCATATGAGCGGTACAACCAGAATCGACAATCCAGTCGCTATTGTTTAATGCAGCAGTACTCAATACTGTCGTTAGCAGAAGAGATCCAGGCTTCTTGAACGTTGAAGACTTCTGTTTCCGGTGAGATTCATTTTGATCTGTTTTGTTCTCCTTCTTGAGATCTGGACACTTTGGCTTAATGTGGCCCGATTTTCCACGATTATGACAGATTACAATCTTCTTACGTTGCATATTCTTCGAAGAATGTCTCACAACAAGAGCAGCATCCTTTGATTCACTCGTCGCTACATCGCTTCTTCGATAATCTTCTTGCAACAATCTTGATTTCACCATTTCACTTGAAAATTTGGTATACGTTGCTTCTATTCCCATGACTAATGGTTCGAACTCTACGGGTAATCCACCCAATAGAAGTGCGGCGATTTCTTCATCATCGACCTCGTGACCGATGTCGGCTAGCTGTTGTGCTAACGAAACTAGTCCGCTAACGTAGTCTCCCATCGATGTAAAATCTTCATACTTGGTTCGGAGTAGTCGTCGCATAAGACTTAGTCGTTGACATAGGCCTTTGTCTTCGAATGCTCTCTGAAGGTTATCCCAAGCTCGTTTAGCTTTGTCAGCGTCTCTGACGTGGGCGTAACACGATGGTTGGACTGACAGACAAATTTTTGCTAATGCCCTTTGGTCCCGATTTACGTCGGTATCGGTTCCTACAACACAGTTCCATAAACCATTCATAATTAATGACATCCGCATCGTGAATTTCCAATTGTTGTAATTTGCAGTTCCTTCCAATTTCTCGAATGTACGAGGGTTGTCTGAAAAGTTTCCGACCTAACAAAGATACAAGACATTTTTTCTTCAAATTAATTTTTGTTTTTCTACATAGTCTCCTTGTAAGTCTATACACTTCTCCCAGCGATGCTCCCATCTCTTCAACCCGTCCAAATAGTACTCGGCGTCTTTCTCTGCAAAATAATTGTTTACGAAGGTGATGGCCTCCGTATTCGACGAAAATCTCTGTTCTCCGAGCGCAACTTTTAGCTTAGAAAACAAGAAAAGTCGCTTGTGGCTAGATCTGGTGAGTAAGGAGGGTGGTCAAGCAGTTCAAACCGTAATTCGTGGATTTTCGCCATGGCAACCGCTGAGGTGTGAGACGGCGCATTGTCTTGGTGAAACAAAATTTATTTTTTCTGCAAATGTGGCCGTTTTTCCGCAATTTCTGCCTTCAGCTTGTCAAGTACTGATGCGTAGTATGCTCCTGTAATGGTTTTTCCTTTTTGAAGATAATCGATTAAGATAACTCCATAACTATTCCAGAAAACAGTTGCCATCACTTTCCCAGCCGAAGGAACAACCTTTGCTTTTTTTGGAGCCGATTCCCCCTTCGCAATCCACTGTTTTGACTGTGTTTTTGTTTCTGGAGTATAATGGTGTATCCAAGTTTCATCTACAGTAATTAATCGGCGCCAAAACTCTGATTTATTGCGCCTAAACTGCGGCAACAGAGCGTTGGAAATGTTCATTCGAACACGTTTTTGGTCCAAAGTGAGCAAACGCGGCACCCAACGCGCGGACAGCTTTCTCATGCCTAAATCTTGATTCAATAAGTGACAAACACGTTCTTTGAACATGTTCATAGCCTCTGCTATCTCTCTAACTTTAATTCGACGGTTGTCTAGCACCATTTGGTGAACTTGAGCGATATTATCGTCAGTGGTTGCAGTTTTTGGACGTCCCGAACGTTCATCGTCACCCAAGCTGGTATGGCCACGTTTAAATTCAGCAGCCCAAAATTTCACGGTAGTAAATGATGGTGCAGAGTCCCCGTACACAGCGTCCAACTCGTCTTTGATTTGCGTAGGCGTATTGCCTTTCAAAAACAAATATTTAATGACAGCTCGATACTCGATTTTTTCCATTTTCATAAAAACACTCACATCGACTCACTCAAATGATTGTCAAACAACAACTGCGCGTTTAAAATGGCTGAAATTTTGGTGGGTACTTTTCAAAGCATGCGCAAACACATTCCCCAACTTTTGTTTACGAGTGCTGCCATCTTCATGTTGAGGTCGGAAACTTTTCAGACAACCCTCGTATGTCCACTACCACCAACCATCGTTGATGTAGTTGTAGTCACCGTGTTAGTGGTGGCTGTATTGTCCGCAGTACACATTTTTATTGATTTATATTACATTTTACAAACGCAAGTTATGCACGCGAAATGTTCATACCACGAGATGCCATAACCTCGAAACAAGTAACTCGAAAAAATTATCGAACGCAAATATAACTGTCCCGTAAATAATACTTTTGCATAGCGCGAAACACTCTTGGGCCCATAACTTGTTGATTATTTGGAAAAATACAATAATTTAGCGGTGGATGGAAAGTGATAATTAATATAGTTTATTTACCATGTGTACATATTGCAACGTTGTCGCGAAGAAAAGAAGAAGGAACGGAAGTAAAACAAAAAAAAACACTAGACATACTTAACATATATAAAATGTATACTTATATATAAATCATTTTCAGGCAGTAAAACGAAATGTATACAATTATTAGAAGAAGAAAAGGGATTAACGCATTTCAATAAATTGACTACGTAAGTTTTTATTAAATATATCTCTCTTATTTAGTTTCTCTCCTTTTTAGTCTCTTTCATTTTTAGTCTTTATTGTTTGCTTTTTATCATTTATTCATGCTTTTTCTCGAAATATTTTATTTACTTTAATCTTTTTAATGTGCAAACAAAAGCTTTTTAATAAGTTTAAATGGTTTAATGATTTAACTGATTTAAATTTTTTTTAAATTTTATATAATTATATATGATACGTTTATTTTTATCTTCTTCTATGTACCCGGGAAAAAATTTTAATGTATGGTCAGATATAATCATATATAAATTATCATGCATGATCATATATCGAATTTGTCTCTGTTTGAACATACATAGTAAAGTACAAGCATGTATAACTATATATGATATGTAGTTTCAGACTGTATTATTTCTAATCTACTGTTCTGATGTCTCATATATAATAATACGTTATTAAACGTATCTAAAATATATATGTGTGTGTGTGTATGTATGTATGTACACGGCACGTCAACGATTCGTTCCCTCAGGTAAGGGGAATACATAGAGGTATACCATGACCCATTGGTGTACTTTTATGTATACCCCCGTTACCTCAGGGAACGAATCGTTGACGTGCCGTGTACATACATACATACACACACACACATATATATTTTAGATACGTTTAATATAGTAATTGTACTGATATATATTATATATTGATATATACTCATTTATATATTATTGCAGAAACTTTTTTTATTTTAGTAACAAACACAATAAGTCATACAAATATTTTGTACTCTGTTTTGGTTTTGTGTAAGTGTTCGGGAGTCGACCTCGACGAGATCGCCCGAATCTTAAGAAACGCTCAGAGATGAGCGAGAAGCGGTGTGTAACGCGAATCCGTAGATCCGCTGGAGGACAAATACTAGATTGTAGATTGTTTTCAATATTTGTTTAATTTTGAATAATAGGAGCGAGCGATGGCACGTATTCCGCGACTCCGACGGAAATCTTCAAAATGTCCTGTTAATGACTGCCTTCAACGCGTTTCGAAAATCTTGCAGAGCTTCTTGCTAGAGGCTCTCGCGAGAACGGATATCTTGCACGCGGACGCCGGATGTTGCTTGGCGCGAGGCAGAGGACATTCGCGGAACGGTTAATGCGCGTCGACTCTCGGATTCCACACTCTTAAGGGGATCCACAAAGGTCTGTTTTACCAATAAAAATGCGAAGTATGAGTTCAAGTACTAATCTTTTTGTTGGCTATACAGAATGAAAAATCCTTTTCTAGAATTAAAATACTCATAATAACAATGTGCGGACGCTATAATTTAATGTAAAAAATCCTAAAAAGTTAAATAATTACAGTTTTCTTATCGGCCTCTTGCATCAGGTCGTAACAATACTTATTTAATATAAAAATTCTGCAGTTTGTTCGTGCAAAAGATATAGCGCCCGCATTCGGGATAACATGAAAGAATAATACTAGACTGATAGAAATCAGCTTGGAAGCCTGTGTAAAAAGATTAGTATATGAAATTATTTAGTGTACATGTGTGCGTGCGGAATCGATGTCGAGGAGTAAAACAGAGCAATAGATTAGTTGCCGGGTAGCGTGATAGATGAAGCTGCAATCTGTTGAGCTGACAAGGACAGACATAATCGTACTATCTTTGTCTCTTTCATGTGTGTGAGAGTAATA